AAAAAAAAAAAAAAAAATACAATGAACAAAAAGTAAACATGTATTTAAGAGCGCAATGCTATATGTACACCCCTTTTTAATAAATTACACAAAGGGCAATGCTATATGTACACCCCTTTTTTACACACAATGGGGTGTACATATAGACACCCCCTTTGGCTTATCTTAAGGCATAATCATCATCACCTCCTTATGAAATTTGTGAAACACTAAAAAAAAACTTGTTGATAGTTCCAAAAAGATTTGATTTTTATTTTATTTTTTTTATTAAGAAAAAGAAAACCATAAATAAAGTTCCCAAACCAAGGAAGTGTAGAGTGTGATACATGCGCCAATCTCTCTCCCTCTTTCTCTCTCTTTCTCTCACACACACAATGCGCTCTCTCTCTCTCTCTCTCTCTCTCTCTTACTCTGAAATAGATGGAACAAGAAACTGAGCAGAAATTCAACCACCGCCAAGCTTAACTTTACATTTTGTTTTCATCGTCCTCTCTGTGTGTGTGTGTGTGTGTGTGTTGATGTGAGGTTTTATTAGCAGCATTACATTCTTCAAGGCTCTATATGCTCAGATCTATCAATCCCATTTAAGTGTTTCACCTTTAATTGTTGTTTATCTTGAGATTTTGGTTAGTGGATAAAGAAAAAAGATGAGCAAAGAAGAATTCTTGAAGATCCAGGTTATTCTCTCTCTCTCTCTCTCTATTGTGTATGCTTTGTGTAATTGTGTTCCTTTTTGTTTTTTCTGTTCTACTTATTCAACTGGATAACTTGTTTTCTTGAACACAAGGGTTGTTGTTGTTGTTGTTATTATCTTTGTTTTTGGTTCCAAGGTTCTTTATTTCTGGGTTTGGGCAGTAAAGCTGTTAACTTTACCCTGTTAATGTTCTGTGACTTTGCTTGTTTATGCAGACTTGTGTCCTCAAGGTCAATATACACTGTGATGGATGTAAGCATAAAGTGAAGAAAATCCTGCAGAAGATTGATGGTATGAAGTATGATTCCATTAATTGTTTGAATCTGAATTTGGTGATACTTTATTCTTTATCTTTCATATATTTCAAAGAATATCTTCTGGGCACACATGCTTTCTTTAGTCCTTGGATTTGACTCTCTTTTTTCTACCAACCATTTTTTTTTTTTCTCTCTAATTGTTTTTTGCTTTTTCTCCCACCTCACAAACATTTTGCCTATTTCACACTTTTTCCCTGTATTTATTTATTTTGGATAGGTGTGTACACCATGAAGATAGACTCGGAGCAAGGTAAGGTGATTGTGTCCGGTAACATTGACCCGGCCGCCATCATCAAGAAGCTTAACAAGAATGGGAAGCACGCCGAGCTATGGAGTTCTCCGAAGCCCATCAACAACCATCAAAATCAGCTCAACAACCAGCTAAAGAACCTCCAAATCTACAACGGCAAGGGCGGTAATAACAGTGTCAACAAGCAGCAGCAGCAGCAGCCGGGACAAAAGGGTTGTAACAACAACCACCCCAAGGGAGGAGGAGGCGGCGGCCCCCCTCACCCCCAGCAGCAGATGCAGATGAAGGGGCTGCCGGATCTGAAGCTGCCACCTCACTTCCTCAAGGACATGAAAATGCCTCCTGCGCTCGGGCCCCCAAATGGCAAGGGGCAGAATGGGAAACCCGGCGGCGGAGGCAAGCCGCCTCCCATGGATGACGGGCTGAGTGATGACGAATTTGATGACGATGATCACGAGTTCGACGACGACGACGATGACTATGACGATGATGATCTCGATGATGATGATGATGAGTTTGATGATGATGATGATGAGGTGGATGACATCATCCATCCGAACAAGCCGAAGGCCGGCATCATGAGTGGATACGGGCACGGAGGCCCGAACATGCCGCCCAATGCCTTGATGATGAATGGTTTCAAGGAGGCCGGGGAGAACCAAAATCAGGGTGGGGGAAAGAACGGTGGCGGCAGTGGGGCACCGAATATGAATGGATTCATGGGGAACAAAGGGCCACATGGCATGCCCAACATGACGATGAACCGCAATCATCATCCGGCAGCCGTGCAGGGTTTGCCAGCCATGAATGGCCCGGGACCAATGGGTGGGCAGCAGCAGCAACAGCAGCAGTTGGCGGCAATGATGATGAACCAGCAGCGGGCCAATGGGAACGAGCGCTTCCAGCCGATGATGTATGCGAGGCCACCGCCGGCTGTCAACTACATGCCACCACCGGGCTATGGGCATACGCCAGGCTATCCATATCCACCCCCGCCGGGCTACGGGCATCCGCCGGGCTACCCATACCCACCACCACCGGGCGAGCGGGTGGACCAGTACACAATGTTCAGCGACGAGAATACATCCAGCTGTACCATGATGTGATGTATTGGAGTTCGGGGCCGAGTGGTGTCTTAATAATCACGGTCCTTCATCGGTCCCACTCGCCCGGTTCTTGATGGAGCGTGGTGGTGGCGGTGGCGCAACCGGCTTTTACTATCATGACTTGCTGCTAGTCGTGGTGCCTTACTATTATAGTACCTTGAGATGTGTGTTTTTACCTTTTTACTCACTGTTTTTTTTTTTAAGAAAAAAAAGATTATGGGCTTCCTTTTCTTTTTTCTTTTAAATCCTAAGTTTAGACGTAGTATGGTTTCGTGATCATAGGGAGTATTTGATAGGTGGATGATATATTATGTGGATGTTCATATATATGATGTTTTATGTTTATATGCTTAAACACAAATAAAAGTTAAAAACAGCATGGGGTTAACAAGGAAAAATGCCTGCCTTTTGTTTCTTTTATCTTTCAATTCCCAACTAGTTATTGTCTCCATCCTTAATAAGTTTTGTTACCATCGCAAAGCAAATCTTATGTTTGTTTTTAAGTTTTCAATCAAATACTCTCTAGCCTTTGTGCACGGTTCCTTCTTTATGTATGCATTTTTTTTTTTTTTTAATGCGTTCTTGGATTGCAAACAAAAGTAATTATATCGGTCGGTTTGGGTGTCTCGATTATTTTAGTTAATCATGTCGACATAGAATCGAAATATTCAAAATTGTAAAAACAGATAATTAAATTGAAAATTTAAAATTTCGAACCGAAAAATTTTTAATTCAGTCGTGTTCGGTCACTAGTGCAGTCTGATAAACGTTGACGTGCAACTTGTCTATTACGATTGTGCAAGTTCTCCATCGCTATTGTGCATTCTAATCTGACAGAACTTTTTATCTCAACGTAAGTTAAAACTAAACTGAATTGTTTGGTGTATTCGACCGGTTAACCGATCGAACAACCTCGAATAATCGGAAACTAATTTATTTTTTATATTAATATTATATTTATTATTATAATGATTTAAATATAATTGTTTATATTATTTTATAGTTGAAAAAGGATGATATATGAAATCCTGAAATTGATGTTATACATTCAAACATACAAATAATGTACATTTATTCTAACATTATTGTGCAGCATATTGTGCGTGAATTTTTTACTGCCATATAGTTTTATAAAAATTTAATAATGTGTATTTTCAATTAATATGATTGTGCACTTATCAAATATTTATATAATAAAAAAATAATTTAGTATTTATAATTTTTATTTAATATTCTATATTATTGTTTATTTAAAATAATTAACATATATAATTTGGTAGGTATTGTTTTTTTTTTTTTCTTATATTATAATGTGCATTTTCAGACTATTGTGCATTTGATCTGACAATAATGTGCAGTCTGACTTCTAGTAATGTGCATCTTTTTTAGGTAACACCATGAATTATGTAGGGCGAGATTTTTTTTATCCGTTTGTTAATCGAATTAACTTAAATAATCAAAATAAATTATTATTTGTATAATAATATTTTAATATTTTATATACTATTTTATATTTTATTTTTTTTTTGGTTTATAATAAAAATATATATGTCTTACAAAAACATATATAAAATAAGTTTTTCTATATATTTTATGTAAGTTACAAATTTGACTCATGGGCTAAATTAAAATACAGTTAAACTTTTTAGAATTTGCAGGTTGACCCCAGGGGTTTAATTGAAATTAACTAAAACTATTAAAATTGCAAGTCAATCATTGAATGTTATCGAATTTCAAACCCAAGTCCTCCACCCCAAATCTTTGGCATGTGCGCGACCGAAAGCTGGAGGAGGTACACCTCTATCTGACGACGTCGTCGAGACCGCTGCCGGTCGTTGTGCACATTCACCTGCCTGAAACCTCTGCACATGAGAGAATGATGACAGCCTAAAGCCTCCACATACGGCGCCGCTGCTGCCATAGTTCAGAAGCCGCCTTAGTCCTATACGATGCACCCTCTCAAACAACATTGGCTTTCGGATGCTCGGAGAACGAGGTGGCGGCCGCGGCTGTGTGTGTGCTAACAGAGACGAGCGCCAGGGGAGACCATGACCGAAAAATACAAGCTCATCATCTCAGGCGTCGTCTGTGGCAGAAGTGCTGGTGGAAGTGAAAGGCAGCGAAGGCCAGCCGGAGAAGGAGAGATGACGGCGAATGCCAGCTGGCAGTGGCACGGGACACCCGCCCGTGTGTGTTTGTGTTTTATGTGTATGTAGCGTGAGTTTTGTGCATGTGTGTGTGTGTGTGTGTTGAATATGTGTCTAAGTGTGGTAATGACTAAAATATCCTTAATGAAGATATAATTTTCGCTTGTTGTAGGCATTAGACGGTATTCTCATTTATTTCATTGGGAACCTTTCTCACTGAAACCCAACGCTATAAATAGATATATTACTGTTATTCATTGGTCAGTTCACCACATTGCCAAGATAACATATTATTTGGTGCCAAAAAATTATATTCAAATCTTACTATTCATAGATATCGTAAACTTTAATAATGTGGTACTTCGCATGTGCATTTACACTATAGTTTGACTTCCTAAAATACATTGAAAGAATTCTAGCATTGATTTCCATATAAGTGAAAAAAAAATAATTGTGGCATGTGGGAATCAACAAACCGAGTACATGGAATCATTTATTTATTTAAAAAATTTGAAAATAAGTGGAAAAAAAAAAGTTGTGGAAAAAAATAAAACGGACGGATTCTGAAAATCCGTGTTTCGAAAGAAAATGGATTTCCAAAATCCGTTTTCACTTAATGTTGCAAGAAACACGGATTACAAGAATCCGTTTTTTCTTAATTGTGCAAAAAACACGGTTTTTCAAAACCCGTGTTTTGTTAATCTCGTAATTAAAATTAATTAATTCAAACAAACACGGATTATGATTATCCGTTTTCATTAAAACGAAATTTCAAAATCCGTTTTAAAGATAATCCTAAAGTCCGTTTTTATTTATTCATTTTGTTTTTATATTAAATAAAAAACGTATTCTGACAATTCGTGTTTTAGTAGAATCAACTATCCGTGTTAAAAAAAAATAAATGGTAGAAGGACCCCGGATTCGGGACTCGAACCCTGTACATGTGGGCGAGTCCGTTTTCTCCGGGCACACCTCCTACCATTAGGCCGCTCTAGGCTATCACTATTATTTTTGCACAAATTTTATTCTTATACTTGAATATCAATAGTATATAGTTTTTTTAATATATACTATATACATATATATTATAATTTACCATGTTGCCATAAGATATAGAATAATTAATATATACTATATAATACCATATAGTAAATAATATAAAATATAGTATAAACTATAACATAATATATATGTTATATACTAATTTGAATTCGATTATACTATAATTGACTGAGATTGTTATATACTAAATTTCAATTTTTTGTTTTTGTTTATTTATTTATTTATTTTGAGTTAGCTGCTCGACTCTTGGATGCTCACGAACTCGTTTACTAGCGAACACATTTATTTTGACTGAATTTTTATTCTTATCCTTCAATATGAAGATTTTTTATAAATTTTGATTTAACATTTTGAACACGAAACAATATTATTTTAATATCAATTCATTTGTCAACTAGTAATCTAGTACAAAAAAGTCAACCACAATTAACGATAAAAAAAAAAAGTGAACCAACAAAATATGTACACAAAACCATCAAATTAAATATGTGAAAATCCAATACAAAAAATAAAAGAAAAAAAGAAAATGTCCACAAAACTAACTAGGGATCTTCTACAGTCAGGTCATGGTTGTACCTATCTAACATCAG